ATTTATATTTATATATACTTAGATATATTTCAGTTCTATTTAGTTTGCTGATTCCATATGTGTATGATGCTCACACACACACTCACACACACTAAGTTTTTCTTTCAGCTCAGTTTGTCTTTACTTATAAAAAGACACACAGAGACTGAAGGAGATCTTGCCTCAACAATGTTAGACTTTGTGTTTAACTCGGGCACCATATTTAACTCAAACAGTAATAAGAGGTAAATGGAAATTTCATGGTTTCGACTTTACTGTGAGGTAATGACTGCACAGTCCCTAATTCCAGTTGTGTGAATATCTAGACCAGCGTTTCCAGACGTTGCTGGGTGCACAGATCATCAGGGAACTCCGGGAGCCAGAGTCGGTTCTTCTGACAAGTTCCCAGATCCACAGGTGTGGAGAGTCCGAGGATCACACTCGAGAATGCTTGGGACAACTCAGAGGAGAGCGTCAGAGACATTAGTTCACAATCAGAGGTGGGCGGACAGGTAATGACTCAGACGAACAGCGAATCTAGGAAGAGAGGAACAATGTAGTGAGAAGAGGATCAAAGAATGGAAAGTACAAACGCAAGAACTCAAGGTGCAGCTGGCTGGGAGGGATCCAAGCGTTCAGAGCACTTCCCAGCCGAGGGGGCGTCTCTGAGCCTGGCTCTCGGCCTCCACACTGCACCTGCTGTGCGTGACTCACTTGGCTCTCAGTGTGCTGTGCAGGGACGCATCGTTACAACAGTATCTATAAAACGGCCTACAGCTTGCGCAGAAGGGGAGAGGATCCCTTCTCTCGGCATCTCTCGCTCTCCTGCAACCTTGCAGTTTACTAAGGATAAATCCTAGTGATGATTCTTGCAATACAAAGGTTTGTAAGTGAGACCTACACTGCGCATTTGTATGAAGCAACAGATGTATAAGTGAGTAAAAAGCAGACCGACCGGGGAGAAATCCCACTGTTCTAGGCAGTGGGACTAAGAGGTGCCGAGGAGGTTCTGTGGCCTTGCATGGGATTTGTGCTTCAGCCCGGGGTTCTCACCTCTCTCCAATGGCTGGATGGGGAGGCGGAGGGAGTGGGACAGGCGTGGAGCAGCATCTGCTGTCACAGCTCTTGAAGGCACCCGATGAGATCGTGTGGGGACATCTGTGCCCGGAGAGGCAGATGACAGCCAGAGCCCTGCCGACGGCGGTGGAGGTCAGAACTGGGCAGTGCCCAGAGCTCCCTGCCCTGTGCTTCCTGGCGTGGTGCATTCTGTTGGCTCAGAGATGGAGCCAGGACCTACGGAAATGCTGAGCGCCCTCCCTAGGTGTTACTGAATAGCCTCCCCGGAGAGCGAGGGGCCCCGAGGAGCAGATTTTAATTATGAGGCTCCTCCGCTAATTTAGAACTGCTTAAATTTAACGTATAAAACATGAGTTTCTAAACTGAAATTAAAAATAGATCCCGCTAAAAGGAGTTATTTGAGAAATTAGCAAAACGCCTTAAACTCCCACTTTGGGGAGAAGAAAGTCCTCGCAGTTAACCGTCTTAATAATTCCTGAGTTGTGAGGTCCCCGTGCCTGCTCCAAGGGGTCCAGAGTCTTCCGACCTCTCTGTGTTAAAAATAATAGCTGCAGACTGTTTTGCCACCAGTATGTGGGTGGTTGGAGGAAATGGAAAAAACAAAAATTCACAATGCCTAATGATTTATTAATGAGTTTCATCTTCTCTCTGGAGTGGGGACCACTGATGACATGTGTGTCTAATCACTCACTGGGTGGAATGTTGCAGCCATCAGCCCGGGGACAGACAGACACACTTCATTATCTGCAGAGGGGACGGAGGCGAGGGACACTCCTTCAGCCACTGGCAACCTTACATTGCAGCCCAGCTGGCAAACAAAAGTTGTCCTTGAAGCTTTCCATCTGGGCCCTCTAACTTCATCAGGAACTGAAAGCAGAGTTTGTTTGTTTTGTTTTAAGAGCCTTCTGCTAACAAAGATGTATCGTTACTCTGCTGGGTGGGAAGGCCCAGAATAGCTCAGTGCCGCGCCATTATCATTCCAGAGTCACAAGGAAAAACATCACCAGGATTTCTTAATGGAACTAATTAATTAATGTATTCTCTCAATAAAGGTGGAATTAATGAAGTAAAGACCGGATGGGTAATTTTAGCATCTAAGTTCTGTGAGGAATCTGTCCTCACAGATCCAGGCTTCACCATTCCTCACCCATAAGGAGGACCCCACAGGAAGTGATTTTAAAATAACTCACTTAAAGTAATTACACAATTATTTAAAAATGAATGCAATTTAAATATGTATTTTAAAAATAATTAAAAGTAAGGACGCGTACTCCAGTTCTTTCTTGCTGGTGTCTTAAATATAATGAACTTAGGGAATGGAAATGAAAGAGCTGCAAGCATCTGACAGTCTTCCAGCTCCATCCTTTCCCAGGTGGAATTATGAGTCGTGCTACACAGCTTTCCTTTTTCATTTTTGCAAATGATGCTCAGACCCTGGCCCTCATGGGTGGCGGGTGCTGGACACCAAGCTGCTCCCTGCCCGTGCCTCGGCCTTTAGCACCTCCCCTGGTCCACTTCTGCCCCTGGCTTCCTAGAACTATGTAGCCCAGGCTGGTCTCGAACTCACAGCGACCCTCCTGCCTCAGCCTCCCGAGTGCTGGGATTACAGGCGTGCGCCACCACGCCTGGCCCTGTGTAACTTCTTTAGCATCGGCTGAATTTCTGTTCTCATAGCTTGGAGGACCTGGTGATTCACGTGTTTAACAAATTCTTCGGAACCAAGCAGCCCCACAGAAGCACCGTCTCAGACCGAGAAGCTCTTGAGGACCTAGGGGGTTTCCTAGCCACTCCCTGCTGCTTTCTGGGGACACCTTTACCAAGCACCCCACTTTCCTGTCCTAGGGTCTGGCTTCCGCTCTGGGCTTCACTTGTTTTGTGGCAGAGATTCAGTGCAGCTGTGTAGCTTCCTCTTACACTTGTTCAGTGAGGTCTTCTCAGGTGCTGTTTCGACAAGTGTGGTCCAGGAACCACATGCAATAGCGTAGTTAGCCTGCTCAGCAGAATTGTGTGTCCCGAGCCCGGTTCAGACCCCCAGGGTTGAGGTCTTCAGGTGCATGTGCCACAGCTGTGAACTTCTGCCTCAGAGCCACGTTAAGACCCTCTTTCAACTTGTACCTCTTCTGGGTGAGAAAGCTTGAACTTTTTCAAGTTTTCCTTCTAGAGTTAATTTCCCAAATCTTCTCTGAACCCCCTCCAGTTTGAGTAGCAGGGGATACATTTTTTGGGGCATATTTTCAAAGAGTTCTGCATGCTGTTCCCATGTGTGGGTTTTCGCCCAGTATTTACAGAGATTTTTAATAGGCAGTGTTTTGGGAAATGGCTCCTGAATGGACTGAAAAGGCAAGGGAAATAAAGTTGCTTTAACTTTTTTTGAATTTTATATATATTCTTCAGGCTGAAACTTGGTTCTTCATAATTATCTTCTGAATGATGCCTTACAAGCATTGCTTAAATATTTTTAAAATTCACATTTAGATTTTAAATTCTTTAACTTGTCCCATCCACTTTCATTACTGACTATGATTTCATGAATTTTAGCTGGGAAAATAGCATTGTTTCAGGGACGCTTTCCTTCTTTTTGAAGTACACAGTCAGTCATTGGCTGCACTGGGAAACTTTGTTACTTTTCAGTCAGCCGTAAGATAGTGGGGATTGCTTATTAGTATAGGAAGCTGACTCAGTGAGGGTCCGAGAGCTTGGACCTACCGAATTCGGTGACACGCTTCTAATTGGTCCAGAGCAGCTAATCTGAGCAATTATTTCCTAGGTTTTAACACCTTAAAAGTGAAACTTTTTCTTGGCTCGTGTCAGTAATAAATATTATCTGACTCCCAGCCAACCCAAGGAGTTCATAAGGCTTAGCATTGCTGGTCTCCAGGGCAACTGCAGGGGCAGAGGCAAATCCCAGCGCCCTGGAATTGTGGAATCCAAGACTGCGGTTCCAGGTCCTCACGGTGTTAGATGAGTAAACTGGGGTATAGAAGTGATTTGTCCCAGACTCCAGGATTCACATCATAGCACCTCCCCAGGATTCCTGTGTCTTAGCACCTGCCCACTGGGAGAAGAAAACAAACAACAGCAAGAAAAACAACAAAAAACAACCTCCAATCAGATGATGCTGTTTTATTCTTCCATAAGAAATTTCTCTTTCTGGACCACTTCATGGAAACATGATTTCTAGGGTCCTGCGTGGGATCTCTACTGCTGCTGTAATGAACTGGCTCAGAGCAGTGTGACTTCTTCCCTTCTGGAGCTGGGCGGCTCAGGATGGCCTTGCGGAGCTCACGTGGAGCTTCCAGCCTGGCTGTGCTACTTTCTGGGCCTTTTGGGGGAAGCTGCCTCTGAGCTTTCTCCAGCCCCTCGGTGCTGCCCATGCCCCTTAGTGCTGCCCACCCCAGCCCCACAGTGCTTTCTGAGCTGGCACAGATGGTAGCACCCTCAGCCCACCTAGCATTTGCCCTCCTGCACCTTCTCCCACAGTTAGGGATTCTGTCATCACTTAGGAAACTGGCTGTACCCTCAGCCTCCCATTCCTTGGGCAACTGATGAGCAATTTTGGCCCCGTAACATCACCTAACCATAAGCCACAGGTTTAGGACATGAACGTCTTTGGAGGCCCGTTTTCCTACCTGCCCAAAGACCCACTGGCAAACCAGCTGGGAGTTGTAGTTCTGATTCGCCAAGGGTGCTCTCTGGACCAAGATTACCCACGCACGCAGAACTGTTAGACACAGAGCTTGGCTCCGACTCTGGTTTGCTGCCCTGGAACTCCAGGACCCAGGAACCTGCCTTTAACAAGCCCTCCCCGTGGTTCTAATGCATGCTAGTGTACTGCTGCTTCGTGTAGCGTCCTGAGGGTCTGGGATAAAGATTCAGGTGAGCAATCTATTGACGATGACGCTATCAGTTGATAATGAACTTTGCATTTTCCTATTTTTTCTTAGAATGCAAGGCACCGGGAATCTTAAGGGTTCAAGAGTTGCTCTGGAGACTCCCAAAATTCACAGAGACCAGGCCAGCATGTCATCTGTGCCTCCTCAAATCCACATGGACCCGGGCCCTTGGTTTTTAGTACTGTAATCTTATTTACTTCTTTTGGGAATGGAAAGCAAAATTGCATAAAATTTTATTTGGAAAAAGTTACTGCTAAAATTTTTCTTCTGAAAAACAACTCCGTGTACTGAAAATTACTTACAAGTGTATGAACTAGGTCCTGCAGGGCTCTCGCGCGCTTTTCTGTGTGAGCTTGTGCCGCACATCTAGCTGTGCGACAGGACACGTTGACCTGGACCCGCAGCCTGGGAGCTTTCTGAGGTAAGAGAAGATGCTCCAGACCGTCTGCTGCTCACCTCCCAAACAAACAGAAACCCTACCCTTCCCTTTGTCTCACAAAACTGAGGCTTTCAGGCAGTGACGGACCCCTGTTGGGCCGGAGGAGCGCATCCCTGACAGTATCCCCACGGCAGACTGGGACTTGAATGGGAGGCTGATTCACCCAAAAAAGTGAGAACCCAAACCCAAAACCCTAGAGAAACAGAAGATTGGCCCCACTGCTGCCTGCCCAGATTTGGCTGCTTGAAAGAACGTTCTCGGATGAGCAGCACCTGAAGCCACCCAGTGTGAATGTCAGGGGGAGAACCAGTGTGGAGAAGCTCGAAAATCCAGTCTGAATATCTGCTTCTTGCGGCTTTGAAGAGGGCAGAGTCTGCCCTCAATCTGCAGAGCTTTTGCAGGTAAAAATAGCAGGGACCCCTCTAGGACCTCAAGTCCCTCTTGGGTTTCTGTCTTTCTACCATGATTTCTCTGGTCCACTTCATGGCTGCCAGGTGGACCACTCTGCATTTATAAAGCCGTCTTCTATTATTTTAAGACCTCCTTGATTCACATAAACCCTTTAAAGCCTTTTTCTAATAAAGAATTCAAAACTTAGAAATACTAATTGAAATACTATGTGGCAGGCCTGTGTTAAACCCTTGGGTCAAGGACCGAGCCATAACACAAAACCCTCTGCCTTGCTAAGTGTATGTATTTCTCTTTTCTCCTATCTGGATTACGCAACAATTTTTTTTTTTGCTTTAATCACTTTGTGATATTACTTATGTCACGTTTTCACATTTGTCTCTGATGTGCACAGCTTTCAATGCTAACATTGTATTAGTCTGAGATCATGCACTGTCTTAAGGAAGACTATTTAGACTGTATTTCCAGCTGCCTTCAGGCTGTTTCTGTCTTTATGTGGGCTGCTTCTTCTCCTGTTTCCTGACTCTTACATAGGTCAGGTTATGCCTTCCTATGGAGATGTCCCCAAAGCCTAATGTGGTCCTGGGCTCATTGATGGGTCTTTTGAAAGGTGGTTGGGATACGGGGGCATGATGGCTGGCCTGCTGTCAGGACAGAGAACCAAGATGGAAGAGGTGAGAAGCCATGACTGTGACCTGGTGTGTGTGGTTCATCTCCTCCCCTCCCCTTCCTTCAGGCTCTCTGCTTCCTGTGCACCATGAGGTGAGCAGCTCTCTTCCACCAGACCCTTGCACCACCGTTGCTTCTGCCAGGAGCCGGAGGGCTAGAATGTGAGTTAAGTAAACCGCTCGTTCCTTCTTTAAGTTACAGATGTTGGGTATTTGATCCCAACCATGAGAAAGTGGCTAAAGCAGACAGTTTTGGATTTGCATGAGCTTTGCTTTTTTTCTGCCTATTTTTGTTCATTCTTTCTATTTATTTCTACATAAACTTGGGAACTTTAAGGTTAATATCTGAGCCTCAGTTTTCTCAGTTAAAACGGATTACCATGTAAGTGATAATGAAGAGTAAAGTGTATGTTTATGTGAATGTATATATGTTTGCATGTAAGTAAATATGTACACATATTTAAATGAGAACACATTTAGCTAAAGCTGTGATTGGCATATAATGGGTACTTCATTAGTATCAACTTCTACCTCCTCCTATTCAATAATTCTTATGAAATATGGGCTCTGGTTCCCCTTCTCAATCCCATACCCATGAGCCTTATACATAGGTCCCTATGTTTATCTACCTAGTACTTTTTGTCTTTAGCTTTCACCTCTCTTTTCTTAAAGCCTAGATCTTACCTAGATCCCCATACTTTGGTGCATGCTGCAAATAGCTCTCACAGTGCTCTGGTGCTCCTGGTGCTGCACTTTGACTTTACTCCTGATAAAAATGACTTTTTTCCACCTCTGTCATGCTCAGTTCCCTACCTCCCTTCTGCTTGCCCACTTGACTGCCTTCCTTCCTTCCTTCCTCCCTGCTTTCCTTCCTTCCTTCTTTCTTCCTTCACTCTTTCTCTTCCTTTCTTCCCTTCTGTGCTGGGGATCAAGTCCAGGGTCTTTCCTGTTAGGCAAGAGCTCTAGCTCCGAGCTGCACCTGGACCCCCATGCTAGGTTTTACCTCTGGGACTTGGCTTATTGTAGCAGGATTTTTTTACATTGTATGTGCGCTAGCTGTAATTTTGAACGAAAATGTTTAGAAATTCACTTAAATGCTGCATATGCTTAATAGGGTTTGTTGTACACCACAGAAGTCAATTAACTGAGGCCAGAAAAGGAAATTGTTGTTTCAGAGAATTCAAGTACAATTTGTACAACTAACTTGTGGGAGGATAAGGATTCAAGAGTCTTTGGAACAGCTGGGGGCAGAAGTGAGAAGTGCAGGCCCCTCAACCACTCATCCTTGCTTCTCTGGGCCCTATGGGTCTGTGCTCTCTCCCTGAAGGCTCAGCTTTACCTAAGGCCCTTCCTGAAGGAGCTGGGAGAGAAGGGAAGGAAAGTATGTGCCTTTTGTACTGGGTATCGAACTCAGGACGCTGTGCTGCCAGGCAGGCGCTACATTCCGGGCCCCAGTACCGCATCTGTTAACACTGTCTCCAGGTGCTTGGGGGGGTGGATTTGGGATTGAGTTTGTTGTTCTGGAAATCATTGACCCTGACCTCACACAACATTGATGGTTTGATGTTAATGAAAGTGATGTTACGGGACCTCAGTGGTCCACCCGCCTGGCTACAGAGACATTCATCATGCTGTTAGGACTCTTCTGTAGGGCTTCTGAGAGTGAACTTGTGAATATCATTAATTATTATTTATCCATTAAATGTCACCACCGAAAAGTATGTAATATATACAGTGTTGTCACAGTGTTTAAATGTATGGCTTCGACTGTTTCGACCACTAAGGTGATCACACACTTTTGTCCAGAAAGGTAACATGCGCAGTTGGCTCTGTATTTGCCAGTGGAGTAACTCGTCCATGATGAACACCGAACAGTCCACCATGACCTTCTCTGAGTCCAGGTAGCTGGTTTAGCCTTTATTTCAGATAGCATCTTTTGGTAGACTGACTATTACAAAGAATAAAAATGGTAAAAGTGGAATCATTATTTGAATAATGAAGCAATAAATATATATTTTCCCGAATTGCATCATATTCACTAGAGTTGTTTCTCATTGCACACTGAAGTCCTGCTTAGCTTTGCAATGTCTGTTCTATCTTGATGAAATCCTTAAAATTTAAGGGAATCTTTATTGAGTTTGCATCTGTCAAAATTAAAAAGGAAAGGAAAGGAGAGTGGGCATCTGACTGAGTGTGGGACTTCTCATGCCCCTGTGGTTTATCTGTAAGTTTAAGAGCCTAGAGGGGTGTTCGTCCTGAGCAGGAGGGACCCACTGTGATTCTGGTCCTTACCAGCTGAGCTGCTGACACAGCGTGATGCTGATCAGGATGAAAAGGCCATGTCTGGCCTGAGCTGAAACACTCTCTCCTACTGCTCTGCCCTGCCTATGTCTGTGTGGGGCTAAACATCTGGCAGACCGCTCATTCTTTGTGAATGAGGGTAATTATCCATGTCACAGGTGTGCTGCCCTCTGAAAGATCTTATTTCATTCTAATATGGGCATGTCTGCAAATAATTTATGAGGTGCACCTATTTTATAGTCGTCTTTCCTATGGAGAGTAATTGCTAAGCCATTTCTCCTTATTTTTCTTTTTCTTTCTTTCTTTCTTTTTTTTTTTTAATGAAGGGTTGGGTTGTGACCTCTTTTCAGCAGGATGTTAATTGTAGCACCTTTGATGGAAATATGAATTCTAAATAAAACACTGGTCTTTCCTATAAAGCATAGAGGTTTCCCTGTAAACTGGTTGTTACAATTTGCAAAATAATCTACTTCAGGATTGCATTGCCTTAAGAGAATGTAGTCAAGAGGTTCTTGGTAGCACTTCTTTCTTTGGGGGGCATTCTCTCTCTCTCTCTCTCTCTCTCTCTCTCTCTCTCTCTCCCTCTCTCTCTCTCTCATTAGCAATAGATATAGAAGTACGGTAGACAGCACTATACTTGTCTAGTTCTTTTTTAAATGTGCAGATTCTGTATAATTTCCTCTCATTCTTCCCTTCTATCTGGTGAATAGCTTGGTTCTGTGAATTAGTCCTTGAAAGTCAAGGAGCTTTCAAATCTTAGTAAAATAAATAAATTCCCATTTACTTTTTGCATGTTTGCAAATAATTAATATAGTTGATTAACAGACACGGCAGGACTTCGGACTCATTCTGTAACAGGCAGCATTCTTTTTAAAGTCCACCTGAGTTATTTGAAATTAAACGCAATGGAATCTCTCCTCTCTATACAGCCTGTGCTCTGTGTGGAGGTCTCAAAACAGAAATATATGAGATATTTATAATATAAAAGGACACAAGTCGTAGGGGTCAAACTCACTTCCTAGTGGCCAGATTACTCCAGACAAACCCTTTACCCTTCTTGAACTGGGCAAACCGGCTAAGCGTACAGACAGGGGGACAGAGCTGGTGCGGGTCCTGGCTGTCCTGCTCTTATGCTTCAGTTTTCTAAATATCAAGTGAGGATAGGAATCACGTCAGCGTGAGATGTATCTGCCTGAAACGCTTAGCATAGCACCTTACAGAGAGAAGCACTGAAGGCCTGAAGATGTGATCGTTTCATAATTTTAGGTTAATATGCTCATATTAACCACTGCCATCCATCCTCATAAAATGAAAACAATACCGCCCTGCCTATCTCAGAAGTTATTACAATGTCACATGTTGGCATCTGTGTAAATGAAGACAGTATTCGGCATTTTACAAGCTATGTCAAAGAATCCTACCTTTTCGTGGTGCCAGAATTGGGGCTCTCTCCTGTCTACCATGGTATCGGTGGCCCTTCGGGTGGGTTGGGCACCTGGCAGAATGCTGGGGGCTCTGCTGAGATGAGTGGCTATGTGGGTGACTTTGCATTTTTTGAAGCGAAGCTTGTTAGTCTTAAGTAGTTGGAAATCACTTGGGAAAAATAAAGTTAAATTTTGGGTTTTTATTTAGAAGTCTGGAGAAAGAGTCAAACTCAATTAATGTAAAATCCATTGAGAATCTCTGGATGTCTCCCATTGCTACCGAGCCCTGAGTGGCTTTGATTAGGGATACCCAAGGGTCCACCAAGGGGAGCAAGGAGTCAGACCCACTTCCTGTTAGAAAGAGTCAAGAAATACATAACTGGCTCTGTAGACTGTTTTTCTTCTCTCTCAAAGCCAGGATTACACAGGGCACCCAAAGAAAAGTTACCCCAGGATACAGGAGGGGAGGTAGGAGGAGAAGGGAGCCAAAGAACAACAGGATCTTCATTTCTTGCAGGAAATGCAGTTCCCCTGTGTTAGGTATTTGGGGGTTTATGGACCTAGACTGTCCTTTCCAACTTTCTCCTTTCAGCTCACTCTCTTGGGCTGACTCCCTGCTGACCAGGAGTATCGCACCCTCCTGCCCAGGATCCTCAGGGTCCATTTGGGCCTTTATTCCAGAAGAATGAGGAGCTTGCCAAACTTAGATTAAATAATGCCATCGAGTAATCCAATGATTCGCAACTGGGACAGGGAATCATTTACATGAGAAGCCTCTTAAAAATAAAGATTCCTGGCCAGGCATGGTGATGCACAGCCCTAGTCCCAGAAGGGAAGACAGTCACCTTAATGTCTTAGGAAGACCCTGTCTCAAAATAAAAAATTAGAAAGGGCTGCGTTATAGCTCAGTATGAAGGCCTACAAGTTCAATTCCCAGTGCCTCAAAATTAAAATACAGTAAATATTTAAAAATAAATACAAATTCTTTAGAGTCCCCTTTTCAATATTATTGAAAAGATTTGGCAGAAGGCGATTTTAACTAGAAACCATTGATCCAGTTCAACCCGGCTGTTTCACGTAGGAGGAAATTTGACCCCAGAGCAGGAAGTGCTTCTTGGGCGAGGGCGCCGCCCTGCTGGGGAAAGGCGGAGGTGGCTGCCGGGCCGGGTGGGAAAGCGCAGCCCTCCTGACCCTGACGGCCTTGCAAGGAGCTCCGGCGTCGAAACCTCGTGTGACCACGACTGAGCTCCAGGCGCACACGTGAATATTAGTACTCTTCCTCCATTAATTATTGTCCCGCAGATTTACAGGGTCAGAGGCTCGGGCGTCCACACCCGTTCGGTGTGGGAAAGGCCACGCCGTGCCTCGCTGCTGTTTTTCTTTCCGACCGACCATGGACCTGTGCTCTGCCCCGGCTCAGCGGCAGCAGCGGCTGC